GGAGCCACCCTGCTGAGAAGGAAGAACTACAGCCGCTCTTTGGTTGCACCACAGACGAGCCCCGGAGCAGCCCGGCGTCATCTGGAGCAGCGCAGGCGACTGCTGTGCCTACACGCACAGCCAGGACCAGAAAACCTCACGGGGAGAGTTTTGCAATATGCACCCTTGGCAGCACACAGAGGGCTCCAGAGATCCCAGTTCCACCCAGCCCTCTGACACTTGAAATGGGCTTTTCTGAAGTCGTTCTTCAGCCTACATTTCTTTTGCACCATCCTGCTGAGTGAACATACGGGCATAACCACATGAATTTTACAGCTGTAGGACATCATTGTTAACAGGGGGAAAAAAACCTTCAAACCTTCTGCTTCAAAGCCACAAACCCTTGGTCCCCATCTTCTGAAAAGAGCTTGTAATTAACTTAGCAATGCTACAGCTCACATGCTTTCTGCAGCCATTCATGGCATATCTGTCAGACTTCGTAACAGTGAGCTGAGGGACTACACAACATTGCAATTTATTCTCTAACTCTGAACAATAACATTTTCTCCAGTTAAGTGGAAATTTTTACAAAAACTGCAAGACCACAGCAGTTAACTGCATAATGTTAATTGGTTAACTGAAATAGAAACTCATTAACTGATTAACTGAGAGCTAAGATGCAGTAATGTCAGCAGAGTCACAAGGAACATTTAAGACAAGAATTGCAATAAAGCAGATTTGCAATTCCTGAATGTATTTGATTAACAGATTCAAAAAAATGAGGCTATTACTATCTTAATTACTGCTTGCCCTAAAATACTGAATGTGATTAAACTCAAGTGTTGAGAGAAAAACACGCTTCTAAGGACAATTACAAAATGGATAAGAGCAACTAATTATTTGGTATGCTGTTGTCTGTTAAAATGTAATAATAGCAACAATAACAAATATATCTAATAATACTAGGAAGGAGTAATAACAATAAAAAGACTTGTGTCAAGAGTTAGTAGCACAAATTTTCCAGTCTCAAATGGGGAAATTTACTGCAAGGCAAAAGCAGACATTGAGTGTTTTTCCAAAGTTATGGTAGTAGTGAGACTCTTGAGCAATGTCTAACTAGTCATTTATGAACTCAGCTGCTACGCAGGTGTATTACAGATGGGTGACATACTGATATCATGTTGATGTCATGTTCCAAATCTGTCGGTGCTACCAAACTATTAAAAAAACCCTACCAGAAAGCCACAGATGCTAATCGGGGCAGGTGTTACTAGAAGTATTAGCCCTGTGCCTTCCATTACGGTGCCTCCTGCAGCCCGGCTCGTCGTTGTGTCGAGCAGCGTTGCTGTGCCTCTCTCACTGCCATCGCCACACTTTGGTTTGGGGCTGCCTGCTCCTGTGCCTCCCAGGCAGGCTCCTGAGAGGAATCAGCCATGGCTGAGCAAAGCAGGTATGGGGGCACATCGGGGACCTGCGCCCCAAACCACATTGCTCCCTGGCCTCACCCCGGCTGGAGTCACCTCCAGGCCCCTGATCCAGCACAGCTCGAAGATACACAAAGAGATCATTCATGGGGTAGGGCTTGGTGAGAACAGAAAGTCCTCTTCTCCTTCCTCAAGTCCCCTAAGGTCCCCAAATCCTCATCCAAGAGGTTAAACAGTGCCGTAATATTTCTTGATAATGTGATAGAGCTTTTTCTGGTAACAGTAGCATGAGAAACTCAGATGGTATCACCTATTTTTAGTGCTGCTTATACTCACAAGCAGCTTCAGGAGCCTGAGCGCAAGCTTTATTGCATACACTGTCAAAGTATCCCCTCTAAAAAGCAGCTACTGAGTAACCTTGGTAACTTTTTATTTTTTTTGGCAAGGACTAATCCAGGATTCTTAGCCATATTAAAATATCAAAACAAACAAGCAGCAATGATGATGACTGTCACTGCTAATCTTTTCTTCACATAGACTTTACCAAAATCTCCTGGAAATTCAAAATCATTTCCATGCTTAACGAACTTGTCTCCATAAAGTTCAACCCTAAGGGTTATTTTTAGAGTATTACCCATGAGTACTGAACAACTAGCAATGCACTAAAGACAAACGAAAAATACCGACCCAAAACTAAAAAAAAACAAACCACAATTAAAAGCCCATAAAATGTGCCTAGTTACAAAACAAAGAATTAAAAGTGGTGTAAAATTAGATGGTAAAACTGTTCGTTTGCAGTCTGGACTGTTTCAAAATCCTTTCTTGTGCGCTTATACTGAACTTTCTTCTACCATGTGCTTTGCAGAGAAACACAAGTCACAACATCAGAAAAAGGGTTAAGGGTAAGGTGCAGAACCATTTCTCCTAAGGCATCACAGATCTGTCAAGGGCAAGCTCAGTAGTTAGATGTTCTTCACCCCATAACCATGCAGCTAGATCTCTACTCTTTAAAAACATTAACCATATCCTTTTCACCTAACAATCACGACAATCTTGCTGTATATGTTTTTTGGATGGCTAACAAAAGGAGAAACTACAGCTGTAAAAAGAATTAGACTTAAAATGAATTTAAGACATCTTCACAGAAACCTCCTCAGTAACACAATGTCAGACAAATGTTTGTAATGCATTGTTCGCTGCCTTTTTTGGTATTTGGAGAAAACACACCCGAATTTGTAATGTTCCTGTTGAGTTTATTTCTATTTCTGAGAATTCTTCTTAACAGCAGGTCATTACCAGAGCAGCATAACGAAAATGAGGCAATGTTGATAATATAGGCAAGAATGACCAAGAAAGGTGAACTCCTGAGAATGCAGGATTTCAAATGGAAAAAATCTGTCATAAATAATGTTGGAAGGTAAAAACTGAGAAGCTATTCAGTTCAAAGAGGAGATGAATAGAAAAATGAAAGAACCTGACCCTACCATTCTGCCTCTTCAGTTCCCTTACTGCTAGGAGCTTGTTCATAGTCAGAAGAGCAGAATTGGAAAAATTTTAGTTAAACCTAGCCTGAAAATAAAAAATATTAATTAAGTATGCTTTTCTAAAAGACCTCAGTAAAAAGCTGTAAATGTTGATTTATATTTCTTTTAATGGTAATTTAAATTTGCTGCAAAAGTACATCACCCAGCAAGGAGTTCTTAAAAAAAAAAAATGAAATATGCAAATCTCTTAAGTACTTATTTGTACTTATACATACACACATATGCGTATTTGTGTATTTATGTATGCAAATATATATGTTAGAAAGGCTCCCAGAACTTTCTTGAATGTGTGTCCCATAATCATACCTCTTTGTGGGAATTTCCTAGTATGAAAAATGGCCATGGTCATTGGATAAATTGCTTGCTACAATTTTGTCAATTTCCAACAAGAATAAGCATTCTACTAAATAACATTATTTAATTTTAATTTATATTTTGTCTTTGATTCCTGTATTGGGAGCTGCACATTCTAACGGCTGGTAACATCTAAACGGAAGCAAAAGAACAGCTACTTCCAATAACGCATGATGGTCACTTCAACATAAAGTTTCCTTAGGGAAAAATAGGCTTTTCTACAAAAGGACATAATCAAATTAAACACTTGCTTGATTTCATTGCCTTTCCAGGACAAACAGAAGACATCATTTTAAATGAACAGAAATGGTCTACTGTAATTCTTGTGTGCAAGCATGTAGAGACTTTTTTTTTCTGGCTGCTGTAGCCAAAATATAAATCATTTTCCGCTGTGGTGTCAGGAATTGTATTGCACTAAATTAATCACTAGCTACTTTAAAAACAGGACAAAAAATCCACTGCAAAATGAAACAAATCTCTCTGTGCCTGTTTTCAATTTGCATTGTCATCACTTACCTTTAAAGGACGATGGAAGTGAGATGGGAATGTTGCTGAAATGCATTCAACTGACCCTGTGTGTGTGTGTGAGCATCTCTAGTGCTCTCTGCTGTGCCTCCAGCCATTGGAAAAGATAAAGTACTATAACCTGCACACAATATAATCTTCACTCCTTGCCAGGCTCCTAGCACAGGGATACACTATAGCAAACTAAATGCAGCAGCACATAGACTACAAGTCAAGCTGTGTGTTGTCTTCTAGCATTTCCCCGTCCCAGATGTATTCTGCTGGGGTAGATAAAAGTCCTTCTGTCTCATTACAAAAGAAAAGGAAAGGCAATTCATAAGGGAAATGGAGTAATTTTAGAAAGCTTTTCCTAATAAGCCCTATAGTTCAGCAGATGTGCGCAAGTGGGGAAAGCTGGGAGAGAAGAGATCAGGCAGGTCCATCCGCCATCATACAACTGTGACTCGGCTTGCTTTTATCTTTTCTGTCAGGCAATTAAAAGAAAAGCCAATTTTATTCACTGAGTGAGGGGCAAATAAACTCATGCCAATTAAAGAACAGAAATGATGTCTCTGTGGTTTAGACTGGAAGCATTTTAAACCTAAAAAATCTTAAATAATTCACTCAGACAAGGCTTCTAGATCCTCGTCTGTCTGCCTTCGCTCCCAGGGCCGGATGGGCATGCACTGAACTTTTTATTAACTCTCTCCTTTCAAACTCTCAATCCACAAACTACACCATTCAAGAGGCATTAGTAATATTTAATATTTCTTCTTTAATAAAGTCATTTTCAAAATGCTACTGGGAAGACACAGTTCTCTAGACCATAAGAAATAGCAATTAAAGTCAGCCTCAACTTTACAGCTGACTTTGAAAGCAGAAAGAGCTTACCAAAATGTTCTGAAGTCTCTTCCCCCTCTCTCCTCAATCTCCAAAAGTGCTTTTTCTCTAGGTGATCACAAGCCTGCCTGCCTTTCTTGCTGTTGCCTGCTTGGGTCTTTATTAGCTCAGGACCATCTTCTTCCAATTCCTGATTCAGAAAAACTCATCATAATGTAACTCTAAGCCTGTATATTAATTCTTAGCAAAAGCAGCTCAAAGCATGTGCTCAAATGCTACTGAAATTGGGCCAGCTGTGTGGTTTTTCTCCTCGCACAGTAACTTACCATCTTGCTCTGCAGCAAGTCACACTTACCGGTAAAATGTGGTATAATCCACTGTTGAATGACAGGTCTGAAACTCCCACGCTTTGAGTTTCTGGCATTCCCGGTGAGCTCGGAGTTTCACCCTGACTGTCCCGTGACAGAGCTCGGGCACAGGTTTTCTTTGTGGGCGGCTGCAGAACTCGTTGGACTCCACACGCCAGGATTCGGCAAAGTCATCCACGTCAAACTTAAAATTCCCGTCCCCCCCAATCAGGTCATCTCGCTTGTGCCCGTTGTAGTTGCCACACAGACCACAGAGTTTGCCTTTCAGATGCGGTGCAGCCATGACTTCCACAAAACTGTCTCCATCCCATGAGATTTCCAAGCCTAACAATGAGATGAGACAAAAATATGCACACAAAAAAAAAGAGAAGAAGAAGAAATTGAGGATAATAAACTGTGCCTTATGTTTGTGAAACAGTGTTCATGGGAAACTAAACAAAGCCATTGGCTTTCTTCTGATAACACTGTTAGATTTCTATATGCTTCCCAGTAAGCGCCTCTGGCAAGTTTAGTGTTTCTTAAATCACAGTCAATTACAATACACTCGTGCCTGTCTCTGTTTATTTTTGTTCCTCCTTGCTAAGGGATGGAGTTATCCTAAAAAATCTGGAGGCAAAGCAGAACTACTCTCAACACCGAAAGAGGGCTCTTGCAAAATTCTGCAAACTGAATTTACTACAGCAAATTTCTAGCTGATTTGGGGAAGGGGGGGGGGGGGGGGGGAGAGAATTTCAGCCATTGTCACCCATTGCACAGGTCATGGGCATACAAATGTGTCCATGCCCCATGAGACTCCACCAGTGACCACGTTATGTAAAACATTCTTTTCTTGCCTGCAAAGCTGACACTGATCACTCATTTGGGTGAATACAACTGTTCCAATACATGTACTTTATTTTGTGTGGGCAAAGAGAGTTAAAAAGATGACCACAAAGAGATGCCATATGGGTAAAACTGTTGCAAGAAGGCATTCTGAACCAGATTTAAACTGTTCATTCAAAAGGTGTTAACTACCAGCCTTATGAAGTTGTCTTCATAAGTCAGCAACACTGAGGAATGATGGTAAACATCTAACCTTCATCTAGTGGCTGGGATTTAAGTGCTCTGCTACAACCTGTTTTACAGTAAGGTTTTGTACTTCTAGTACATCAAAATCAAAATTGCTTTCTGTGGGTGAAATCCATTTTATCTGTCTGTACCCACCTGAAAACTAGATATCTGGCTTAAGTCAGCTGTCTGGGCCCTCTCTTTGACGAAGAGAAACAGGCAGCTCTGGGTCACAAGATGGGTGTCTAATGCAGAGGGAATAAACTACCTTCTGAATGCCTTTGTGTTTCCAGTCATACTCTAGAAGGCCCAGAGATCAGCTGGAGGATAAACTTCCAGTTTTTACCTTTGTGACTGTAAATTAAATGATAAATAAATTCCATCCTTTGAGGAGTAAATATGTATCTCATAAGGGAAAGCAATTTTAGTATCATATGGGATAAAAACACCACCAAGAATCACTGCTGTTTAACTTCTACCCAAAAAAGGCCTTGCTTCTAATTGTTTCCAATGTCTGATGAATGCTACTGCTTTACATCTCGGCAGTAACCCCTGCATCTGAAGATCACAAATCATTTTGCTGATGTTAACTTATTCCCATAAAGTACCTGTGTGCAGTGGTTAGTTAAGGATAAGCACAGGAATCTGCTTTTAAACAGGATAATCCAGATTTCACCCTCTTCTCCCTGCCTGGCCAAGAATACCACACAGCATAGCTCTGTGGTGCAGGACCAGGGCTTCACTCCAGCTTTCTACATTTGTTGTGTGGGCTGGCTTAGCACCACCCTTTCCTCTTGTAAATCAGTGCTTGTCACTACGCCATCCAAATCCTGCCCTATCCTCATGTAAATAATTAACATACCAGTGACTCAGTTCAAAGCTGGAACCCATCCCTTAGCAACACATCCCTTTGTCTCCCACGACAATTCCTACCCGTGCCGCTGAGAAACAGGGTGAGGCTTAAACGAAAATTATGGCTACAGAAGGGGTGCCTTGCCATTGTACACACTGTCCTGGCGCTTGTGTGGTTCACACCATGTCACCAAGAGTTTGGGGAATGATTTACCCAGCAAGGTTTTGCAGACAATTCTGCATCACTGGTCACTACAGTCTGTTGCATCATGTTTTCTTATCGCTGTAGGTTAGCAATGGTAGCACAAATATGCACTGGCTGACTATGCCTGAAAGCAGTTTCAAATTATCTAATAAACCCAACATGGATAGGGCCACTGTGTCCTCCTCCAAAGGCACTTTACACACAGCCAAATGAGAAATTGTGAAAGACTACAATTGTTAATGAGGCCAGCACAGTGGCAAGGAGGAAAGCTGCCTTTCAAGCTGCTTCATACATTATCACTGCTGGACAAATTCAAATTCCAGCTGTCTTTGCTTCTGACAATGCTGAACAAAACAAAACACAGCTTGATTTGCAGACACCAGATTAATACTGCCGTGCTGGCATTTAGAAAAAACTTGCCATTAACGTCTAAACTAAGATTTCTTCCGACTTGAGAATCTTATAAACTTTCTCAAAGCTTGAAGCATCAAGATCCAATTTCTCACGGTTCTCTTCAGAAAGTAACTCCATTTTTTAAGGCGGTGTTCAACTTCTTCCCCAAACGAGCTGCCTCAGAAGCTGCTGACTCTAAGCGGAGTCACAAAAGACTGGCTAATAATTCTATTTTACTTTTCCTTTTACAATTTTTTTTCCCAAGCCAAGACTTACTGACTTTCAGTGAAACCACTCACATTCATTATGAAAGGTTACCTACCCTGAATATTTGTGTGTCCTCTGTGAGAGCTAAATTAATCTACTTGGATCATGTTGCTCTGTGAACTGTAGGTATGCAGACCAGAATTATGTAAAATTATGATTTTTCATCTCGTCATATAACAATGCACATTTTTAAGTCTAGAGATTCCTACTTTGATTACTGGATTTGATTCAAGAGACTCGCAGTTTAACTATCACAAAAGGATGTACTTTTCTCTAGCTGGGTATTGTTTCATTACACTATATTCTGCTGTAATTGCTTGGATGGAAGGGTAATTTCTAGCTTTGATGAACAGCCTAAAGATTTCTGCCTATAATGGAGCTTATTCCCTTTTGGGGTAATGAGGAAGGGTATTTTTGTTGGAGCCTGATTGCACTATGCAGTGTGTGCCTTTTTGTTTGTTCACAAGCAGAATATTCAGTTGGTTTCTGTAAACCAAGAAGAGCTGTGACGGACAGGATTATGCTACAGAGCAATGATTGAAATGGTCTCCTTTGCAGGCAGAAATTGTTTGGAAGGATTTCTTAGTGCCTATACCTCCCTTTCCTTCCCCCCTGAAATGGATGACTTTCCCATTCACTTGGACGAGGATCAGAATCCAAGAGATGTGAAGCCAAAGGATGCAGCATCTGTCCCATCTGGGGATATGCAGAAAAGGAATATTCTCTGATTTACCTTTTAGGGTTTTGCAATTTTCTGCTTTCATTGAAGGATGCTGAACCAGCTTCTTACTTGATTTCTTAACTTCGCACACCGTGTGCTCTACTGCATTTTAAAAAAATCCTTCTGGACTTCCGCACATCACCTACCGAGTTCCCCACGCTGGGAACTCCCATCAATTGTTCTGCATGATTTTTCATGGTAAAGGCATCCTCAAGAACTGGCAGACCACTCTTCCCTAAAGATTTAGCGGCAAAGTGGTACAGAGAACCTCAGCAAAGTGGCTTCATACAAAAGATCAGCAGAGAAAGAACAAGAAAAAATGCTTGTGCACTAGAGGGATAAATAAGCAATACCAGCCCTGTGAATCTCTGCTCTCTCTTCTTTTTAACAGACAAATTTTAGACAAGGACTCAACACCATCCAAATCACACCCATAACGAAGTACCTGCAAGTGCAGAACTGCATGGCATCCAGGGCTACAGCTGGCGAGAAATTTAGCAACAAAACAGGTTTTCATTGGAAAATGCCAATTCATCAGAACTGAAGTGCTGCAGGGAGACGTATCAGATTCAATGAACTTCCAGCACAGCACAGGCAAGGCTCCAAGCTGGTTTCCTGCCACCTCGCCTGGTGGGCTGCCTGGAAGCCTGGACTCTCAGGGTATGCAACTCCAGGACAGCCCTGCCATGCAGATTGCCCTGTAGCCAGGGACCACAAAGCTTCCTGAAGCTTTGGGCTCCCCTGTTTTACCCAGGGCTCAGCTCCTAGCTCTCAAAAGGAAACCCAAAAGCCATGGGAATGCTGGCTGAGCTGTAAGCATCAGACCCTGCACTTCCCAGCCCAATTTTAGTTTGAATTTTGCTTCTAGTGCAGTGGTTTTGCTTATTTTTCATTACTTCCTCCCTCCCCCTCTTTTTTCACCCTACACTGGGAAAGCACATATTTTTTTAAAAAATCCATGTTTCATTCTGAAACAGAGAAAATTCTCCATTTTTTTTCCCCTGGCACTTAGAATTTCCTGTGGAACAAAAAGTTTGTCTTTAAACCAGTTCTACTCAGCACATTCCTCCTCTCTACAGCTTCTCTGCTGCTTGTCCTCTCCCAGCAAAATGGAACCACGCTGTTCTGCTGCTTTCCAGGCCTTACGTGCTGAGGAAAGGAGGACTTGGCCCATCGTGCTGCGTTCAGCGAGAGAAACCTGATCCTGCTCCGTTAAGTGGAAGAATTATTTAGGCTGTAATTTGCAGTGATTACACACTGTTTGGTATGTTGTCATATGCCATGTTTGCACTCCCTCTGCCAACACATGGACAAGGATGTGTGTAGTCATTTATTAGGCTTGCACCAGAGACAAATGGAATAGCAGCAGGATTAGCTGTCATTCATCTTCGATTGAAAAATCTTTCCTTGGCCTGTGGTTGGCTAATGAAATCCACATCACCAGAGTTCATAGTGTTCAGCTGGCTGCAAAGAGAAACCCTCAAGATGCTTTTAATTAGAAGTTGTGAATAATGGTCAACTTGTGTGCATTTTACAGACAGCCACAAAAATCTGCATTGCCACTTTGAGGAATGAGCCCAGAGCTGGGATCCACATTATGCAGACTTACGTTACCAGGGGCTATGTGAACAGGTGTCTAAATTCTCAGCTCAACAGTGGGTGCTAGTTTCCTCCTTGAAAAAAAAATGATGCTAGATAATGAGTATGACTGTGTGTCACGCCTGTGACCATATCACTCCATAAGAAAGACTGGTTTCACTGTTTTCCCATGGCGTTTAATTGAATTAACAGTCAATAGTATTCTCACCAAAACAGTACTTCACTGTGTAAGTGAAATCTCTCAGGACTACAGTAGTACCTAACACATGCTAATGAGAAAGTTTTAAACTTCCCCTCAGTATTTATCTATGCAAGAATACTGTAGTTTCAGAACAGTTTATCAAAACAAATACAAGTCCTCTGGTTTAGCATTGTGACAATTAATGTATTTTCTAGGACTCAAAAGACCTGAGAGTCTGCTATCTCCCCTCCCTGTTTCTACAAATAAGGTACCAGATTCTCTAAAGTTTCTGGTTTCCTTTTGCTTCTGGTGCTGTGGACTCACTTCTCTCTGCAGACAAACACTTACTAGAGCACAAAGCAAGCTCAACAGTATGGCACGGAAGAGCAAATCAGGCCTTGGTTTTCAAACCAGGACCTCCATTTTGCTGGGTAGCCCCAGTGAAATGTTCCCATACTTTGACAACTTAAAACTCATTCCAGACATTAGTAACTATGATTTTATATAATTGCTGACTTAGACTGTAAAGCATGTTGCTGCAACTGGGAAAAAACCTGAATGTTATGTTTAAGAACTGATCTCCTCTCTGTTCTCATCTATAAGTATCAAACAATGACCCTGCATAAGCACTCTCAGGTTACTGGAAGTGAAAATCATGGCACATTCATCTGTGCAGGCAGTTAATTGTCAGCTGCAGAATGAAACATAGCTTAGCAAATGTTCTGTAAAGACTTCAAACTCATTACTGTGACCTCTGTCTGCTTGTGAGCTACAGGAATTTGGAAGCGCTTCGGGTTCCTCAGATCTCTAAAGAGTTAAAGAGTTATAACTACATTTATTACTGCTGTCATGCTTTTTTACTGACTGCTGTTCATGTTGCGCTTGAGAAGTTCTTCAGGCAGAAGACACACACACACACTTGCCCTACCTGCTTTGGTTATCACTTTCAGCAAATAACCATCCAAATTGATCTGAAATTGTGGTGTCTCGCAAGGTAGTGAGATGCGGGTCCCATTCCACTTCACTGTGAGGTGCTGCAGGAGGCTGATAGTGCTTCTGCCCAACACAAGGTCCACTGACTTTGTCCAGGAGAAAGAACGGGTCCGACGGGCATCGTTTTTTACCAGCACCTGGAAGGGCGAGGCAGAGGAGGAGCAGTCTTTCGTCAAAACGTACTGACATGTTCCCTGAAAGTTAAATGTCCGTCCATCAAAAGTGTTGTAGTGAGGGTCTCCAAATACAGTGCAAACTCCAGGCTCTGCAGGTGAGTGAGAAACAAAAGCGCCATATCAGATTAATCAAAGTTTGAAAAAAGCAGTTGATGAGAATTTAGAGGACGCTGCTTTCACCTAATCTGTCTGCCCTACGTGGCACATTTGGCTGACGCCCATTAGGAATATATATTTTTGAAAAACAGAAGCTTTGTGGCTTTAGTAGAAGTCTTTCCCAAAGCGGGTAGGAACCAAAGGCCAATTGATCCTTGGGGCAGCACAGGAAGACTAACCTGTACCTAGGAACCAAAGACACATTTTCCAACCTACGTGTTTGTCCTTTAAACATAACGTACCACCTGAACAGTTTGGGTTATTACAACACCTGTGAAATTGTTGAAGTTATTCCATTGCCAGAAAATACAAGCCCCACTCATGATATCAGAGCAGGCACAGCCCTGGGCTTGCAGAGGCCAAATGTCTCTAGAGATGTGTGATGGAAGCCTTCCCACCTATCTTCAGCTTTCCAAACACGAAATTTCCAGTCTAAGCAATTCATCCGGCTTCCCTCTCACTGACAGAGAGAAATAGATATGACCAGAAAGTCTTTCATCTTGCCAGTTTTAGACATCTCTTTTAACACCTGGGGAATTACTCTCTGGAGGAGCCTGTCTCTCTGCTGCCAGCTCTGAGAGCACCAACAAGTGTATAAGATTACAGGCATTCCTCTCAGACAGTTAAATTCCCCTGGGATGAGCTCCCACCCTTGAGCTATGTTGTGGGAGCAAAGCCTAATCCACTAACAGAAGCAGAATTCAAAACATCACATGTATATATTTGAGGCTAATTTTGATTTCCCCAATTAGGCGAGGGTGATCCCTGAAATTTAAAACCATTAGACCACTTTAGCAGGACCTGGTTCTGTCCGTATTTTACACAGACACACTTACAAATACTGTACATTTATAAACTAGGTATATTTATGTTTTTTCCCAAAATATCTGTAGAATCAGCATCTTTATTTAGTGATACAAGCTGTCATACATGTTGTCTATATACAACTGACTTGTCGTAGTGATTGTTATCATACTACCAACTAAAAGCCAAGAGCACATGACGAGCATGCTGCAATGACTGTCCAAGGGTGTGGTATCTCTACCAATCATTTGCTGATGTTTGCAGCCATGTGCTGGTCAGAGAAGCTCAAAGGCAGAACATTTCCACACTCATATCAATGATGCTGAATTACCCTCCAGTTACCCGGCAATTGATTGAATTGTCTCGCAGTCAAAGAGAGCAGCAAATTTATTTGCCTTGAAGCCTTCTGGTATAACAATAGGTCCTAACCACATCTCATTGCTGCTGTTCCTGGAAGAATGAGTCTCAAGGCAGAGAAATGCATACTGCAACTGCCAGCTGGATACCCGTGGGCTGAGGCTGTTTTTGAAAGATGATACATGTTTTAGAGGGAGGGCTTGGTGCAGTAACAAAATGTGACTCAGTAATCAAAAGCTGCAAACTGCATCCATCCAAAAAAAGAAAAAAAAAAAAAAAAAAAAAAAACAAAAAAGAAGGGGAGAGTGACAAGAAATACAATTTAAACACCTAAAAAAAAAAAATCCAACTAACAATGTCTTGCCTGAAAAGGCAGCTAAAAAACGCAAATTCAAACCTACAAAAAAGAAGGAGAGATTGATGTTATGGAGAAGAGGCAGGGAATTCCATCGGTGGAGTGCAGTGCAGTTCTGACTATGCAATGCACCTTTCTCAGCACGGTTTTTCAGCTTAGGCAGAGCACTATGCTAAAGCAGATATAAAGTTTCTGGCAGTTTTCTAGCTGTAGTTAAAGAGCATCCAAGGACACCTACACGGAGACACAGAAAATGGGGCTGAAGGGGACCCCAGAAGAAATCACCTTTTCCTCCTCCAGCTGTAATGCAGAACCACCTGTACCTATGTCATTCCTGACAGTCATTTACCTAACCTGCTCTTAAAAAGCAGTAGTAACTGTAACTCCACAGCTGCCTCCAGCAACCTGTTGCAGTGCTCATCTGTCCTTACTGCCAGTAAGGTCTTCCCAAAGTCTAATCACAGTCTCCCTCACCGCATGGTGCAGTGCCATCACAGAGCTGGTACCTGGGAGATTTGTACTTTACCCCTAACTTGCCACATACATGCTTCTTTGGCTAAGCCAGTAACTAATCTTGGCATCATTTTTATGCTTTTTTAGTATGTCTGGGAACGAGAGACCACAAATTTCAGTTTTGCAAGGACATGATGTTGACAGCTCCATTAGAAGTCAAAATGAACCATATTTGATCAACACCTCTCGAAATCAGGCCCGTCAGACTTAAAGCAGAGTCTGAAAACTAAGACACTTAGGTAAGAGAGTACCTTTAGAAACGTGCACTTCTGTGAGTCTCATTTTCCTCACTGATACCAATGAGGATATCTAGAACTGCTTTGCAAAGTCCATAAAAAGACTAATTGCTTCTGCATAAATTGGCAGGAACCATATACTTTTTAGTCACCAATCTAATTTTTACCAATGAGAAAAAAAACATAGATTTTATATGGACCCCATCTGACTTTACTGTTACTAAATCATACTAACATGGTTCTGATTTCCTTGTGTACTCATGTAATTATCTGCATGACAAATATTAAGATACAGATTCTATTTTTTCAGGCTTTAATTTTTCTTTAAATATAATGACAACTTTTATGAAAACAAGGAAACTATCAACAAAAAAAAATCAGCCCAAACATCAGCGAAGATTTCAGAGGAGAGAACTCTTTTTTGTCTGCGTTTCCAGATGCCAAGAACATGGACATGTTATGCATGCTATTAACTAACATATCAGGAGGGGGAGGCTGGTTCTTCACCTAAGCAAGTGGCTAAGAGGCAAGACATGAGAGGAACAAACATAATTTAGAGATGTGCAAGTAAAATTGATAGTATCAATGGGTTCCAAAGGAAATATTTATTTTTAATTTCTAATGTGTTATGCAGAGTAATGCTGTTTAATGTTATGTTACATCGTGTCACATCATATGTCAACTTGATGCAGTGCAGTTAAAATAAAAAGAATGTATTTTGGACTGGATAGCTGAATGTCTGATCCAAATTTCACTGTTTTCTTTAATAAACTAGGAAATGGAGGAGGGAAAATCTACCTAAAAACAGCCTGAATAATTGATTTTCTGATATCACTGTGTAAAACATTCTTGAAAGGTTTGCTAAAATTGTGAGTTTAAAAAAAAAATCTGCATCCTGCAAGACTGTGTGCGATAACTCAGGCGCTGCCAGTAGGAAGAACTGGCTGGCCTAGAAATAAACCTTAAATACTGGGTGTAACAAGACTGCAAAAGACAGGCGACATGAAAAGAGTTCTTGCCATTTTTAGGTTTTGGGTTGTTGTTTATTTCCTTTTGGGAGAGTTTCAATCACATAATTTTTTATGGTTTGCTGCTTTCTTTTTTTTTCCATTCTGAAACAAACCAGTCTTTCTGCTTGGCTGCTTTTGAAATCTATTGGAAGCATCTCTAAGTTAGGATCATTTGTGACTTGCTCCTCTCTTGGGACGTAAGAGATGGAGAGGTGTTGCTGCATCATCAAAGCTACATTCCCCAACGCTGGAGTACGAATTTTGCTAGCTTGTGCTAACAAGGCATAGGGTCATAATGAAGATCTTTCCATTTTTTTCCTGTAGTAAATTGTTCCCAGCTTATTACCGGATACATCTTCTCTCTATCAGCTGTCTAAAGTAGAGTTAGGGCAATTATATATGATACTTCCCCCTAAGACTCTGCCAGCCTTCAACTATTTTCAGCTTAGGGACCTTCTGAGACAGACATGGTTTCCTTTTGTTTAGTAACCTTTGAAAGACTTCTTTTCTGTGACCTTGTCCAGTGTCCCCTTGAAATCAAAAATATTTTTAGCATCCACAACAGCCTTGGGCAAAGTACATGAAGAACCACTGCCTCTTGCTTGTTTTGAACTAGGCATTCATGATCTTTGACATCTTCTTTTGCTCATCTACATATGCACATGAAGGCAAATATACCCATTCCCTCTCTGTCCCTGAAAAACACAGATTTTTCAAAGGAGGGTCTCAGAGCTGTGTTCAGGAGACTGATTTTCAAAGCACCTTGGGCACACAACTCTGATTAAACATTATTGGGAGCTGGCTGCAAACACCTCTAAACGTCTTTTGGAAATCCTGCATTTAAGCTCCCAAATCAGTACCAAAACTTCTGGCTTTTATAAAAGCTTCTGGGAGCTCGGCAGTTTTCACAGTTGTTTTTTAAGCAACTAAATATGGACTTCACGCTTTTACATTTGACAATCTTAAACTACATGTGTGATTCATGCAGTTTGCTCAGCTCCCACCTAAGGCTCTACGGCTTACTTGCAAACTAATAATAATAGTATTTAGGTGCTAAAGTGAATACGAGAGAATTCTTGGCACGCTTTCCTTGCATTTCAAGATCATGCGCCCAATTCGAATGAAATAGTGACTTTCACTAGGAAAGGTAACAGGGAAGGTAACTGTGGGCAAGGAGCACTAGATTTGAAAACACATTTATCTGTACTAAAAAGGAAGATGAAAAAGCAACAGCAAAGAGAACAACATTTTAGCCTTCCCCAAGTTTTAACATACTTTCATAAGGGGAAAAAAAAAAAAGTTTAGGAAATCACGACCTGTTTTGGCCAATACAGATGGATGAAAGTCTGAAAGACAACTCCTTTCTAGCAAATAGTACGCTAAGTAAAGGTAAGAAGGACTTACTGAAATAAGTGGTTGCCAGAAAGTACCTTTCTGCCTTCCACCCAATGCCCCCACCCTCCCTGACAGTATTTAGCCTTTCTAGAAAGGTGAGATATATATACTGCTTGGTAGAGGCCAGATAGACAGTCAGCACACACATCCTGACCAGACAGAGAGCATGAGCATATTGGCTGGGCAATTAGCACACTTGTAGCTCCAGAGCAGCCACAGGATATATTGTCTCTAGCTGGGTTTATTATTTGTTGGGATATAAAGGAAATGGGACACAAATCCATAGGAAACCAGGCTCTGTTAGCTCTTGTGCTCATGGAATAGCTTGTTTTATTTTTTCAGGAGATCAGAGCAGTCAATTGAAGTCCAAGATGTCCAGATGTTTGGTCACACTCTTCTGGGCTTGTAGCTAGTTAAGAGTGGCCAAGAAAAATATACTTTAAATTATAACTAAAATTGGTTTGAACACATTCTACATAAGGAGAGGGAGGAAAAAATACAAGTTTACCAGTTAAGGGTGTACTGGGTGCACATCTATAATTCAAAAAGATCTCAGCTTTTTAAAAATAAAATGAAATTTCGAATGCAATTAGCCCATATGCTGAATTAAGCCCTAAATCAAACAGAATACATTATTAACTTTTGAAAACTAGCTACAGAACACGCATAATAGAATTTCATTAGCTTTTCTGTAAAAAATGCAAAGCCACAGAGTACTTTCCTCATAACTGCGGCATAGTGCAGCTTGATATAATACACATTACAAGGTGTGGTGTCAAAAACTCCACAGGAGTCTTTACGGTCTATTTCATAAATAAAATAGCTATTCCAATTTGTCCAAATACATATTTATACAGTAAACCATCACGGCTGAAACAGCTGAGGAGGTAAATCATGAACAGCATTCCAGCATGAATAAACAATTGCAGTCTTTTGTTGATGTATTTCTCCATGGCAAGGAAATAACACAAGAAACAGGACCAGCAGGGGCATATGTGGTCACTGCTCTCACAGGTACCTACAATGCCTAACCCCACTTTTTTTCTTCTTTTTTTTTTTTCCTTTGAAGTGTCAGCATTTTTTTCAGTATTTCTATAAAAACACTTAAAAAGGATGCAGGACCAGGTAGAAAGTACCTTTTACTCCTATGTCTGGGTCCAAATGCCCTTCAGATTGGTTTAGCTCCATTGGTCATTTTGTCAATTAAAAAAGCTGCAGAATGATTTGTGACGAATGAAATTTTTTGCCCCAAAAGAGGCCTTTGCTGCAAAATTAATCATATGTACTGCTAGACCTAGATGACTTTGAAAAAACTTCATCCATAAAACCTCACAATGACTTGCGTAAGACTGTGTTAGGATTATTGATCATGATTAAAATATATCTGCATGGTTGCAGTAGGAAGGTTTCATGCTGCGTGCTGTAATTTCGGCAAGCCCTATCAATTCTTCTTTATCAAGAACAAAGATTTAACCTCCATTGCAAATTCCCATCTTTGCCTGGAGTTGAGAGCAGTCTGTTAATGTTATTTGAACTCAGGTTTAGTGTTTTCTTTTTTTAATATGAAAATGACCTTGGTCTAACATAGGATTACTAATTTATGGAATTGACGTCAGTGGTGATTTTTCTAAATCAAACCCAAAAGAGTACATTTCATTACCTTTTTACAGCAGGATAAACTAAACTGTTGAAGTTTCCACTGGTATGACCACTGTGTTTAATTAGTGATAACTGTACACCAGCCATGGAGCTTAAACAGCAACATGCCAAAACTAACCATAGTTAACTTCGGCAACAGCAGACAAAAGAGACTCTCCGGTCCTTTAGGAGACGAGGTACTTTTTTTTCTCAGCAACAAACTCCTTTGAAACTATTCCTTTGATTATTTTTTTTTCAGTTTAAAGTCTATCCTTGAATAACGTGACTGTTTTTGACCCACTTCATAGAAATTGGCTGCCTTTAAACTGTAGTCAAAGCTCTCCTGTGTACAGTATGTTCTTGTACCTCCTATGTTGTTTTTACTTTGGAAAATTAATATCTCTTGGACCGCCAGAAATGTCTGGTGTGTTAATATGTGGAGAGAGGATCAGCATGAGTGGGTGGGTGAGGGAAAGGTCTGTGAATGAACATCTTATCTCATCAGAAATTGGCTGAATTAGCAAAGTTTCTAATTACTGACAGAGCAATCATCACTGAAATTCTTATTCCTTTTGCCTGTCTTATGTCATGACGAGATATACAGCACTTCTGGTGCAAAGGTGGAATTAGTTCCCTGCAAATGCCAACTGTTAAAATGCTAATGTTAAAACAGCTAGTAGTAGCCACCACTGCTGTGTGACAGCGGGTATTTAAACTCTTAGATTACATTACCCAATAAAAGCTTGCAACGGCCTTTCAATCATAAAAGCTCAGAATCAGCTCAGCATCAGCTCCCTCTTCCAAGTACTAAATGGATCCACAATGAGACACCTCTCCAAAAAAAATGACCTGTCTGTTTCGTGTGCAACAGAGGAGCATGTCACTGTGGGACAGTGCAACGAGCCTCCCAGCCTCGCGTACAGCCAGTGCAACACAGACAGGACCCATAAGAAGAGGCTAAGGGAATAAGGTTATTTATCCTGAAGGCTTCGGGGAGATCTAAGAGCAGTCTGCCAGTACCTAGAAGGAGATTACTGGGAAGATGAAGCCAGGCTCTTTACAGATGTGCATAGCAGGATGACAAGCAACAACAGTCTGCCCTTAATTTCACAGGTCTTATAGTCATGACCATTCTCTATTTATATCATCAAGAAGTGCTGACTTTTTAGGTAAACTGGTTCCTAGATGAATTATTTTTACTTTGAAGAAATCTATTTTTTGCCTCCTTCTCCCATGAAACAATTATCACAAGTCATCACTCTCTGGCTGCATTTCTGAAGGACTCACTGTACTGTCTTCTTTTTCACCCCTTACAGTAGAGGGTCTCCAGTGCTTTGAGGAAATGGCTGGCCCCATTCTTTTCCTCCCCCTCTCACATTACAAAAGAACACATGAGAAAGGTTAAATGAGACTGAAACATAAGGACAGAGGGAAGACAGAGATTGATAAATTCATGACACGTCACGTTCGAGCAGAGTTCTATGCAAATTTCTTCTCCCTTGAAACTGAGCTAACATGACATCAACTACTGGTCAGCTGAATCCTCTTTCATTTCTCCCTCTACTCAGTATTATTTCAAGTGTTTCTGAGGTTGCCACTTGTATTTAATTTCCTTTTGATACTGAAGACTTGCAAACTAGATTTATTTAATCACAAGTTACATGTTTCAAAATAATTGAGCTGCAGAGTGGAAAAACAGGTATTTAGCATATGGAATCCGTGCAATCCAAGAGCACTCAGAAATGAGTTGATCAGCAAAACCAACTAGATTTTAGACAAAAGAATAGGAAACACGCTCCTTAAAAGCCTGTTTCTTCTTTCAGAAACCTTCCTATAAATCATAATACCCCATTTTAGCAGTCTGTCCCTATTTGGTAAAATACTTAAACATGTCCTGAAGGAAATATATAATTGTATCCTGTTAACTTCAGTGAAGACAAGTCTCTCTGTTGACTTAAACAGGACAAGCTTAAAGACAAGTATTTGTGTAAGTGCTTTGTTGACTAGGAGAGAACACAAGTGATATCATAAGATGACCATTCCTGAAGTGAAGAGCAAAGAGACAAAAAGGTAATGGTTGAGCTAAACATCATAGAGACGGAAGGACAGCCTCTTATTGTACTTTCCACTGCTGCCCCAGACTGTCTCAGATTTCAGCACACCTTTTTTTAACTCTCACAAACCATTTGCAAAGATGTTGGATTATCTATACACATAGCTGGGCTGTTATTTACAGATATAAAAGGTATCCAGCCCTAAAAGTTACAATTTTATTTATTTGCTTATTTTTATTACCTACAAATTTCACAGACCAACTATATCCTTCAAAAAGCAGCACCTCAGATTTGACAAAAATAGTGTCACTTGGAAAAAATAAAACAAAATAAAAATAAAATACCCTGGTATTTTATTTTAAATTTACAGATTTACACGAGGCAAAATCTGTGGCCAGCAACAATCACCTGCCCTTTAGCCACCTCTAAAAAGAAGGGAGAAAAGCAAACATACTTCTACTATATTTATTTTTCTGAGAGAATAAAAAAGAATTTAAAGAATGTGAAGAAAGAACTTACTTTCAGTGCAAATAGGACAGCATCCTTTTCTGTTCAGGATTTTACCCTAATTGAGAGAAAGACAGGCTGATTTAATGAAGGAGTTTTTGGAGCAATGACTGTGTTATAAGGCTAGATAAGCCTTTGAAAATAGTTCAAGTTATGTTTGAACTCAATGCCCTGGTTACAGCTTCAAATATCAGGTGTTAAAAACAGACAGAACTATTCAAGGAGCTTCCTGGCAGTCTTACAAGAATTAAAATACTAAAAAGGTTCTCTGTTACCACTCTTCTATTGAGAGAGTGTGAGAGAATTTTGGACTCATGTATGCATGGATATCTAAAGCAGACTAGTCCTTGGATTAACAAGACCGTTACCTTTTCTGCCACCTCCCAAAATATATACAATACATTTCGCATGCACACCCTTTTAGTTGCCACACAGAGGCAATCTGCTCCACCCCCACTCCCACCCTCCCCCCAAGTCATTCATTTTGTTCTACAAAAATGAAGGAAGGAAGCAGGCAGTGGTAAGAGATCTAGCCTGGCCAGATTTCTTTCATAGCTAAATCCTATGGAATCTCTCACCAAATCACGTTACCAGTCGCCCCACTGAAGTAAATGGACATGCATACAAGGATATGCAACATCTGAAAGTACACAACTTGGTCTAGTCATAGTAATAGACAAAAGGTTGAAGTCTTTATTTACCACTCTGCCCGTGTCAATTTTATATATGGTTGTGTCTTATACAAGGCTGGCTAGAAGCAGGAGGCATGCCTCTGGGCATGTACGTTCATGTGCCTTTTCAGTCTTCATCGAATTGAAAGATGTCCTATCTGATTTTACTTAAATTCCCTAAAGCTGGAGGATAAGCCTGGAAAATTTCAGTCTGACCAATGTGTTTTTCCAAGCAAAAACTGGCGTGGGTTATAATAGAACTTACGGTGATATTGGAGCTCACTTGGATTCCCATACAGGGAAGGAAGAGGCATATGGAGCTGTGCTGCTTCCCAGCACCGACCCTTTGCTCCAACAACAGTTGAACACAGAGAAAGTTCCCTTCTTGGGACCACTGCTCCTGTTCCCCACACCAAGCAGGTGAACAAGGAGCAGCCAGCAAGGGTGAGCAGAGCTGTGCTATTCTGCCCACTCAACATACTCAAGAGTACAGAAAAGCTCGTGAAAAGAGACAAGAAATAGATGTCAGGTCTACACAGAGAGTGAGGAAGTGCACAGGCAGCAAGCCCTGTTGCTGTCTGCCTTGCTTTCTGCCTACAGCACTGCCAGGCTTTGACAATGTGCATGGGGAGAAATGAACTCCAAGTATCTGCTGGGAGACTGGAATGGAGTGCATTCTGTCCTGCTCATGCTTGATGTACCCAGATGGCATGAATGAGAGCTTGGTGATGAGTGCGCTTGGGCTCATCATCTGCAGGGCATAAGTTCAGTTTAAGCTTGTCTTTGAATGTGGAACTGCATGTGAACAGACTTGAGGCACATCTGGACTTGAAAAAAGGGCTGGATCAGAGTTTCATTGGTCGTGTGGGCAATGCTTAGATGTTTGTGTGACCACCAGGCCCCAGAGCAAAGAGAACACCTGAAGATCAGACTGCAACAGGGAGACCTACCAAGCACCTGTGAGGACAAAATCCCTTAAAGGAGAAACCGTTAAAACTGCACAGAAAACGGGAATCCGGGCCACACTCATTTGTACGAATGGAAGACACGCAGCTGAATGCCACACACTGCACTGCACAGCCTTACCTCTCCGTTTCAATAAAAGAGTTGAAATCATCAGTCGAACTGGAAGTGGCAAAAATTCAAGTGAAATTGGAATCTCCAAGGCAGCCTGCTGAGGCTGGTTACTTGAGCCACCATGTTGGCCCAAGATCCTGTTTTTGTCTTGTTGAATAAGGAAACCCATTATTGCTAACATGTGCTGCAAGAGTTCGTTAGCATTGAGGGTTCCCTCAGGAGTGGGCTAAGTGATGTGATCCCATTTTTCCCTATGAATATTTATAAGCAGACCACATTTGAGTCTATTTATTTTCTGGGATTTTTCTTCTTTTTTATGAGGTTTTCAATTTTATGTCTGAGGTTTTTATTTTCTATTTTTTTAAGGCAAGACTAATTGCGGGGGGAAGGGGGTTGTTTGGTTGTGCAATAGCAACAGCTGTTGTTTTTTTGTGCTTCATTTGGCGCTAGAGTAAAAACAGCAACTTTTTGTTTGTAATAATAACAGATGTGTATAACATTAAATGCAGTCTGTGCTAGAGATGGGAGAACGTGTTCTGAATAAATTTTCAACTCACTTGAAGTTCACGGGTTCAAAATTTACCCACAGAATCGAACTCTGCAAATGTCTTCACATGCCATGAATTTAATTCTATTAAGTTTTGCACAGTCTTGGAGCTCAAAAAAGGCTGTATGCTGTAAAACTCACCAGGCTCTCTTCTAGCAGTACAAAAAGAGGCATGTACACGACCACTGACCATTACCACAGGCTTACATTGTTAGTGGGGAATGCAAAGGCACAAGGAGAGGCAGCAAGGCGGAAAATGGTAAGGATGGGTAGTCAGAAAGGGGATGGGTCAAAGAAAGAAAGAGGTTGGAGGCTGGAAAATGGTAAGGATGGGTAGTCAGAAAGGAGATGGCACAAAGAAAGAGGCTGGAGCAGGTCTAGGGCAAGTGAATAGCAAATTAGGTAAGAAAAGTTCTAAAGAATCTCTGAAATTCAGTCTTGCCAAGTGTTGAGATTACTCCCTTTCTATAAAGTATTTAAGCATGTGTTTAAGTTTAAGCACACACGGAGGGCCTGCTAACTTCGGGGCCAGCGTGTACTGCACCTTGCAGGCTGACACTCCAGGTAACAGAGAGGGAATAGCTATGTGGACTCAGTGGTGAGAAAGTAAGACACAGAAACCACAAGCCACAAGGCTCACTAGAGCCCAAGGAAGACTGATTTTACCATAAATATGACAGGAGGGATTGAATTTGCGAGATATATTGCCTCCGCTGCAGATGAAAAGAAGCTAAGACAGACACTTCCTGTAATTACTGATACAGGATTAAACGCTCCAAAAAGAAAAGAATAAAAGAAACAGAAAAATGTGCCTATCCCTATGAAGGAAATTAAAGAAATGGCAGAAACAGTCTTCAAAAACATGTCAGCCTGCCACCAACACATTGGATAACATAAATGGTTGCTCAGTATTGGAAAATCCTGCAGAATTACCACTTTGAAATCAATCCTTTCAAGAAATAATTGGCCAAAATCTATGTTGATAAATTAAATAATATTCCATCACCGAAAAAACCCATAACATCATGCAAGGAGTATTAAGACTGCATGGTAAAGCTTTTAAGTCAAGGAATAATATTGTAAGTTCCTTGTGAATCTTCAATCCCTTCACACTCAGTCGTGTGTATCATAACACAGTTTTAATGAGAGAACTTTATGTGGCCTGACACCCTAAGGGACACTAAACAGCATTTTATTCCACAGCAGTCTTCAAGAGTCAGTAGAGACTGCTTACTGCCAGAAATACTGTGAAGAGAGAAAAGAAATGGAGTTCACACCTCTACAGTTTGCAGACACAGCAGGATAACTCTGTGCATGATATCCAGACTTTCAGTATCGGAATCACTAATCTATCTTTATCTTGAATAACGTGGGGTGTTTAATTAATGTTTATAGATTTGTGACAGAATATTTTTTCAAAGAGAGTGGAGCACACATGAAAAGTAATAGATTTAAATCTATTAGCATACATTATTTGCTTTAAAATTACTTGGTGCCCACTTGGAATAGGAAAATAAATCTCACTCTTGAGTTTACATTCTTTCCCCTACTTGTCCTTCCAATCTAGCTTGAAAGAGCAGAAATGTAATGTGTACCTGCAGAGTAGGGTGGGTTTGCGTGCAGCTTACTGTAGCCTCCATTTTAAGGTGGGGAGCAGGCTGACTGGTTAGATACTGCAGGGAATGGTGCTGCAGGGTGACAAAACTGGTCTTTTCAGCCCTAAGGAAGTGGACCTTGTCTCAGGACTCAGTATGGAGGTCTAGGGCAGTTTAGGACTCCACATTAATCTTGGAACAGATCATGCAATAGCACTGAACAAGTTCGTCACTCAGCTAGGCTGCCGTGGGACTGCAGATGGTGAATTTTTACTCACCACTACTTTCATTTTAGAAGCCACCTTAACTGATCATCTCAATGCTCGAAATTATATATGGATACAGCTGAAGTGATATATTTCACTGAAGAACTATATGAAGTCATATTAGTTATTTGATCTCAGAAGCATCTTCAATGTCTGCAATGCATCAGCACAGGGAAAACACAAAACAAAGAATTTGAAGAGACCTGAAGGGTCCAAGCTCTCACCTCCTGCTTATACTGTGAATGTCGTGAAAAAAACTGGTTGCCATGAGCCACATCAGGTTTCCAGAAAAGCAGCTCCATCTGTTCACACTTCCTAAGATGTACACAACATCTCTTGTGAGGCCCACTAACAGGAGAACTGCCCTCTGCAGTGAGTGCCAGAGGGACAGGAAAAGGATGTCCCTTCTTCTGAGGATGCAAGCGTCACTCTTGCAGCTCACTGGTATCGCAGAACAAAGAGCACTGAGGTACAGGCTCTGTATTCTACCACTGCTTCTGGCTGTCAAAAGTTCACACGTATAAAATTTTACAAACTAGAGTTTGTCATTTAAAATTTTATACCTAGGTGTCTGTGACTCATATTTTCCCCACTGGCTTCCAAGATGGAGAAGGAAACACTGAGAAGGTGTAATGCTAACGACTTGGCTCTGTCCTCTGCAGTTCTGTTCAAAGATCCACCCCTACATGAGGTGCCATTTAGAGCTCCCTCTTCTGAAAGCTTGAGCCATTAAAACAAAATAATTTGTCAGTAACAGAAATCCAAGAAACAAAGGCTGACTTTAGCTCGAGGTTTCAAGTAATGCTAATTTTTGAAGCAACTGATACAATTACACTACTCTTTGGGTTCACTTCAGACTTTCAAATAAAAAATACTCAGGTTGCAATCTTAGGGCAAGCAGCATGGCTTGATTGTAATAATTTGCTTTGCTTTGTCTAATTTACGTTTTCAACCAAGTATTAAGCCTCATATGCACTGAGAAACTCAAGCAAAACAACCTCCTGTGGCTTGCCTTAACAATATGCATGCTCTTGAAATTTTAACACAGTCGTCTCACCACTCTATGAAGCTATTAAATATAAGTGAAAGAGATGTTCCAGTGCAGGTACTTGGGACAGTGAAAGTTAAAGGAAGGAGGAGAAAAGGAGCACAGAGTCTTCAGAACAAGGACAGAGGTGGGAAGCCCATGTTCAGGGTAGCAGTAGCACACTTGGGGAATGCCAGTCTAAATTAATACGCCAGAGGATCCCTTCTTTCCAGACTGCATGCCCCACTGCCATGCACACACTTCCAAGAAACACTGAAAAAGATAATGCTGGAGAATAAAAGAGAAGTAAGATCTGTTCTTTTAAAAAACTCACATGAGGACAGCTGCTGACTGGAATGCACTGTTTCTTGCGACACTCTGTCTTGCCTTTCACACAAGCACAGATGGTGCAGTTCACAGAGGACCACATCTCTCCATCCTGCAAGAGGGAACATGATATAGTATCAGCTGGGGTGGCAACAAGAAGCTATTTCAGCAATGTATCATTGCACAAGAAAGGATGACTTTCCCTGTTGGCATTGTGTCATTGTTTAGTCTAAATTATTTTGAGGTATCTGTCCATGGCCAGTCAGATTAAAGACAAAGATCAAATTTAGCAGGGTTTTCTTCCCTTTGGTCCTCTAGGTCAGAAATCCATTTTTCCAAAGCTAAGCAAATAATGTTTGCATTTTTCATCAGTGTCCTGATTATTTGCATTGTTTTCTCTGCCGTATGTGTCAGATGTGATCGCACCTACCACAAATTTTCATTTAAGCTCACATAATTAGAAAAATCTGATTCATCGGGTTGAGTGACATCTTTAAGTTGTGCATGTGAAAGTATTTGATTAAGATGTCAGCATACAGTGAATTTATTCCCAGATGCAGCATCATTTTGACTTAGGGCAGGAATGGACGAATAATGAATTCTAATTTAGATTACTTACAGCACTTTCACAGATACTTGATCTGCTAAACATCTGAAAATGTTTAGAAGAGATACAGTGCTGAACTTCTCAAATGCAAAGCGGGTAAGACAGTCTATGTATGGCTCTTAAAGTATTAGGTGCAGAGCAAAATATGCCTCATGGTCTTGTCCCCACTTAGTTGGGAAGGATTGCTTGTGGAACTGCCCTGGCTCCTTTTTACATAGTGTTGCATTTGCCAAGTGCGGTTCCTATAACATTCTGTCTCACCCACTTACAGTCTTGCGCTAGCCCACTTAGAGCCAAAATGTGCATGCTTTCTGTTTACAGGGCTGCTGTGAAGGAAGGGTGAGGACAGACCTGACAGGAACAGGCAGTCCAACCAGACAGCTGTGAACAATTACATGCCCACCTCAACTTGATGTTCTGACCAGAGCGAAAAACAGACTAAATCTGAAATGCCAAGGAGCCTAACTTATTCAGCACAGCATGCTTAGTCAAAGGCTGTGTCTCCCCTGTCTTTTGTTTCCAGGTTGTTAGGATTGCCTGGTGTTCCTGATGCAGCACATGTTCTTGTGGGCCTCTAATGACCGCTCTCCAAGCATCTGCTGAGGTACCAGCACATATCACAGCTGACTGCAGGTACGCTGATTTTTTTGCCTCACAGCTGTTTTTCCACAGGGTGCACATTCACTGTGCCCATTCTACCTGTGTCAGACCATTAAATTCAACAGAGCGAATGCTGGATTTGCCTTTTTGCACACGAGGCCAGAAATGGGTGTACTGTCTCGTTATTTTTTCTTACTCCATATAATACTTAGTAATATAATAAAATCTTCACAAGAAGCAGAATATTTTAGTTGGGTGCCTAAGAAGCAGACCTTTGTTCCTGAAGCACAATAGCACCAGTGTGAAAGTGCCAATCAGATGGAGTATAGTCTCAGCATACAGTAGGTTCACATGTAATTTCCAGAATAAACACTTCAGCTATGTACACAAAAGATGGAATAAATGGGAAGCAATTCTGGCTGAGCAAACCAAGTATTCACAGAGGATTTAACATTTGATCTGATTCAAGGGTCTTTTAATTCACAGATGGCCCATGAGGTGACAGAATCTTTTTCTGACACCGTGTGAAAAAAAGCCGCACCACTTGGAAAAACAAGCAGGGTCTCAGCAATAGCAGAAGTGTTCTACAGGGAATCCCTTGTGATTTGAAAACATTGGGTGAGAGTGCAGTAGGTAACAGTTATTACATGGCTATCCCAACATGAGATATCAGGAGTGCTGTCCTTAGCAGAGACGTGAAACGTAATAAATCAAGTTGAGTAACTTTGAGCCATGACGAACTTCACACAACTCCTGTTGGCTCAGCTATGGAAGAGACTCTTTAGCTCAGCAGATAAAGCCTATGTACCACTCAGAATATCTTCTCCGTGAACATCAGTGTTTGTCTGGGAAAGCAGAGCGCTACTATCTCTTACTAAAAACACGTTACTTGTCATGAAACAGTAGCTTGAATCTCTGCATACGGAGAGGGAGACAACATGTCACATCAAGGAGGAACTAAGCTTTAACTGCTGTGTATCACAGAATTTACACAAACTCAGAAAAAAAATAGTAGATGGGAAATTCTGCAAAGCTGTGCCTCTGAGTTGTTCCATCATCAACCAGGATGGTGAGAACTCTGCTAAAAAACATGCCATAATATTAACTTACAGGACACTCACATTGTTTCAGCTGTTACAATGGCATCTATTCTTCAGCCACACCTGAAACTTTACCTGGAAGATCTTATTGCCAAACTTGCACACTTTCACTTCCTCGGGAGAGATATATGAGACACACTCCTTGCAGCACTGGTCTTTGTTTTTATTGCATTCACCAGGAAGTAAGCACCTTTTCTTACATATCACTGTTGAATCCTAGGTAAAAGGACAAAAGGAAATAATTAAATCATCACCAAGATGTTTGTGCTCCTGTGTGTCCTTACCACAGCATTTCTACTTGCTCAGTCATTGCATCCACCCAAGCTACAGCCCTTACTGCTTTGAATAGGTCAGCTCAGAAAATAAAAGTTATTTACTGGATTAAGGGAATCTTTTATGGTCTGTGAAGCTAAAGCTCAGCTTGTACTTCTGTTGGCCTGCAAAATCTTACCGATTTGGTGACACTTTAATTTATTTGTGCCTGGGTGCAAAAGTGCAAGTGGTCACAGTATGTTAGAGGGACTAAAAAAAAAACACTGCCCTTCGGCAGAGATGTAGTAATTCACCATTTAGAAACTCCTCTCCCATTGTAATGCAAACTTGAAGAGGATCACATAATCCAAGAAACTTCATTTTGAATCACAGAGTGAGGCATCATGTCTCAGCTGAGGCAGTCAGTAATTTTTTAAACTTTCCTAGCACAACGGCAAGCGCTCTTCAGATCAGGTTCTTGGGGACCACACAAGATGCCAAAGAACAACAGTATCAGGGCTTACAGTTCCACAGCCCTACAAATTACTGCCAGGCCAGACAATCAGTAGCACACGATACCAAAGCACTATGGACTTACCTTGCATGTACACATTGTGCAGTTGTCATAAATAAATGAGGACCCGTTATCATACACATTACTGTGAAAGAGGCAGCTTCCAAATGGGAGGTCAAACACTTTCCTCTGTCCTGAATATAAATAAACAGTAATAGAAAAAGAATGTGATTGAAAAGCTGCCATATTGTCAACAAAAATAGTAGGGCTTATTGTCACCAGACCAAATTCATGTGAAATGTGTCATTTGCTATGTGTTTCCATTTTGGTGTGAAAAAAATACGTACTTTTAACAGTTCACTGTTCTTCTGCACACATTCATCTGTACAAACGCTGCCGTGGGAGGGAATATAAATATGATTTGTGGCATGTTTATATTGGAAAAATCTTTCTTCTCCTTCTCATCATAAAGTGCACAGTGCAGCTAAAGGAATAAAAAGCACCTACCCTGCAAACTCTTAGGGTAGGTACACTTGAACTAGTTTAAACAGCCTTTAGTTTAATGCAACAACTTATCAAATAAAGCAGCCTTAACTGGTTTCAGCATATCTGCCTCAGGGGTTCACAGCAGCCAAATTAAATCAACTCAGTGACACTGATGCAAAGAAAACAGAGGTGTTGTCCAGTCTCATTAAGACAGCTTGGTGTGCCATGTTCACACAAGGTTGCAAGAAATACAGGCATTTGCATCATTTATGAGCAGAGTGAGGGCAGCACAAGATATTTAGTTTCAATAACCGATAGAACATTTGGGTTTCATGAGAGCGAGGCAAGGTATAGAGCACTACACAGGGAATGCAGCATCAATATCAAATCCTTCCTGAAGTCCTGCAATCCTGCAAGCACTTTCAGATCCAAGATGCAACACACTTTGTGGTTCTGCAAGCTTCTGTCATTCCTCAGCTGCTTTCCTAGTAGGTTATTTTAAACAAGTGGTCAATATGATACATAAACATGAGCTGTTTACAAAAATGCTATACTTCTCTTCCTGGTTTTGAATACCCTCCCCTGTTTAATTTTAGTGCCAGCCAACTAGTAAGTTCTTTTATGAGTGGCTGCCAGTTTCCCGGCTTATCATTTCTGAGGTCTGATGTTAAATAGGCATCAGTTCCGTGGTCGGGAATGGCCACTGTAAGTATATACAAGAAGTCACTAAGTACTAGGTCAATACTTCAGAGCTCTCAAACCATCAGGTCTTGGCACACTGTAATTCCTTCCCTTTCCAATAATTCTTGGTAAATGTAGAACAGCTTAGAAGAAGAAGGTTCCATTTTCCTGTGAGATATAAGCGAACAAAAGGATAAGCACACAGCAAAATCCATTGGATTAGCCTTGAGTTTTTGCAAATCTACTGCTAAAATAACTATTAAACAAAAGTGAAGAAATAATTGCTGTTGTCCAGGTAGACACAATTTGAATATCTCTCTCTTGCAAATTAGTTACCTTGGACTAATCCGTGCTTGCATAACCAGCCTTCCTTTTACTGGATGTGCATCTTTCTGAAAAGGCTTAATTTCTGCTGCAGGACTGACATATGACATCGGTTGAGGATACTCAGTAGCCCTAAGAGGAACTGCTCTACATTCGTGCACCACTTATGGACAAAGTGTAGCCATAGTCCCGCCTATAACTACACTTCTATTGCTCTACATTGGGCTAGGACTTCAACTGCATAACTTATGTCAACGAGTGAACAAAAGTCCAGTTCTCTCTCACACCCTCTTTCCATGCCTTGCAAACCACCCAGCACAATTCTGGGTGGCCAACTCAGTTCAAATAGTTGGTAAAAAACCACTGACAAAGGAGCTACCACTTGAAAAGATGTGGTGGTGAAGATATTGGTTTAATGGTCAGCTTTGTTGGCTCACAACCGCTAGTTAAACTAATAATTCAAGTCCCAGTAGAGTTCGCTGCATTCTTCTATGCTATATACGCTGAGTATCAGGAATTCAATTGCAGGGAGGTCCTCCACATGATACTTTAAAAACCATGTCTCAGCATCCCTGAAAACGTTTCACATTCCCGACTGCTATGCAGTGTGCTAGACATCCCTCGGCTCTACCTCCACTCCAAAACTTTCAATGCCAGACATTGTCTGTTCACAGGTATACGACCTGTTTTAGAGTGAAGACCATATAAAATGAAAATCATTATTATTAGTGAACTGATTTACAGACATTTCTAAGAGGGGGAAAAAAGAACCTGTAGAAAAAACCCTATGAAGCAGTCAAAAAATAAAGCTGGGTTTTGAATGCCTAGATCAAGGAGAGGAAGACTCAGGTGGGAAAAGCATGGGGTGAGGAGAGCAAGGGGAGTTTACAGAAGGAAAGTAAAAATGTCCTCAGCCAAAATTGAAACTCAGCGTTTGGGCTGTTCTCCTGTCCATTTCATTCCTCTACTGTATTACACTCTGGTGCTGTGGTTAAATGTTCCAGGCAGACATTTATCTGTAGCACTTCTCAATTAGCAAATTGTTTCAAGGAGTCAAAAATGTTGAGTATTATGAGAAGCTGGAGCTTGCTGTCTCCAAGGCTAGATCTCTCTGTACCCCTAACCTAGCCCTGGAAAAAGACTTTGGATAGTAGTAAAGATATGGTCAAAATGACAAAAAGTTTCTGTTGAAGAACTGGGAACCAACAGCTCTGAAAATTTTCCAAACCTAGTCATAACCTCATAGACCAAATTAAAGCTAATTTATTTGGTAGGATGTAAGTGCTCCTTGTTTATGAACTGAAGGGACACGTGCTGAGAAACATTAACCTGTGAGATCTGTGGACATGGTAAGAGCAAAATAAGGACTCTTAAAAGTCACTGCCTTCCTTGGAATGACTTGGAAGAACTAGCCCTTCTTAGATGCCTCCAACTTCGTCTTTTAAAATACTTTGGAAAGATGTAATTGAAAATATTCCTGGCTTAAACTGTGATTCCACCTTAAGGCGGCAACCATAAGGCAGACTCCTGAGTTCCTGGCCGCTCTGACAACAGCTTCTAAGAATGCAATTTCAGTCCAGAAGTTTCCCCTGACCTGCATTTCCTCAAAACCAAGAATGCAAATGCACACTTGAATTAAAAATATGAGAGGGCGAGGCCCTTTTCTTGTGGCAAATTCCAACAAAACAATTTGTCCCGCCTCAACCTCCTTTGTAAAACATGTGTAATGAAGGTTGGAAACATCTCCATGTTTGTGTCTCTAAGCAAGCCAACTGGTCCATGCTCAAATGCTCATCTGCAGCTGCTTGCTGAGTACCACACATCACTGACCCCAAGTACCTGAGTAAACCTGCAGCTTATAAACTCCACTGAGCAATACTGTCTCTTCCACCTCCCAGAATTTACCAGTCTTGTAGAATACCAGTATGCAAGATGCTATGCAAAACCATATAATATTAACTACAAAATTCTCAGGGGAAAAAAACCACTCACCTAAGCATTTGGGGCAACGCTCAGTTAGGAAAAAAATAAAGCCAAACATCAAGCAGACGTGTATACACCCACATAGACTTGTAACAAGTCTTGAAAAGCCCTAGCCAAAGTAGTATTTGCCAACACAAATTTCTGCTTGCATCAGGCATACAAGGAACGTGTACAACTGTGCTTCAACACTTTCTATATTGCTTGCAGATACCTTGGATTATTCATATTTTTTCATTCTCTCAAGCAATGAATGTAATAGTTGAAGAAACACTTTCTTCCTATCTTATTTCTTGGTGTGGATATGACAAAACCAGGGAGAATAAAATCATTATCCATGAACGTTTCCGGACGTTCAAAAAATTCGTGAGCAATTTTTTTTTACATTATTCTTCACCTCCTGTGCCGTGCCCTTCTAGGCTTGTCTGGGACAGGGATTAAGTGCTGAAGCCAGATGAGAGCAGGTGTTCTTCCACTATGTCCATGACCTCAGAAACCAAATAAGCCAAAATCACATTCTTGTTAGCCTCTGACTCCAACTATGCAAAAACCCAGAAGTTCTGCTTTCTTCAGAGGACTAAAAACCAAGAGGGTATATGAAACTTTGAGAGTGAATGTGGCAAAAAAAAGGAAAAAATAAGCAACCTGGACTGGATATATCCTGGTGTATCAACGAATATCAGAAACAGAGGCAGGCAAAAAGCACAGCAGGGACAAAAGCACAGAATATATGTCTAAGATTAAGTCAGTCAAAAGAGATCTTTGTTCTCATCCTGCTCTGTTGCCTGATTACTTCACTGTACTTATAGAATACTGTGTTTAGCCCTCTACCAACACATGCTCCACATGCTCATGAGGGGTCCAGGTTGTTAAACTTTAAAAATCAGTCCACCTTTGCCTTATCAAAAGAAGTCATCCTTTTCATCTAACCGCCCTGCCTTATTTATCACTCAGAGCTGCAGGCTCATCCCAGCAATAAGGTTCATGTTCCTGGATGCTGTGCTGGAAGTCTTGTGAACAGTCTCCTCCCACCTACATGCTGGATGCCTCTCAGGGCTCTCTGGGGAAAGATGGAAAAAGCTGTTCATTTTGAAGAGCTCTGTGCCTGAAATGATGGTATGCCATTCCACTCCTAATGGCCTCAGTGAATCATGTAAAAAGCTTTTACATACGGGCAGACCCACATACACACTATTGTACAGAAAATAATGTACTGACTGTACCCCCATTCTGTAATAAGTTTTCAGGCCCATGGGGCCACCAAGGCATCCTGAATGCACATGGCTAAGGACTGGTCGTAATTCTTTTACCGCGGCATGCAGGAACACAGAGTTTATTGTAGACTGAAATGACTGTTCTAAATTAAGGGTCAGACCAGAAACTTGACAAAATGAAATGAATTCTTCACTGATGTTCCTTATGATGCTCAGGGAATAGCTCTGTGAGAAGAGACACAGGTGCAGAATGAAAGAGAAAAATACCAAAGAAGGGCTCTCTGAAGCACTGCTGTCATTCAGCCCAGGGAAAAAGGCTAAAAGAAGACAAAGTTCAAATCTCGGTGACAATTCAGCAAATGCGAAAGTCGGGCATGGAGCCCTCAGCCAGCCTGATGACAGGATCAGGGATACACCCCTGGAAGATAAAGCAATGCTCCAACACATGGTGAGCACAAGTCCTTTCTTGCAACCTTGCTTCTGTATTTAATACTCACATATCCTATGCCTCTGTGGAACTGCTCTGGAGTCTTGCTTCTATGACAGATTACATCAAAGCTCGGGCTTAGCACTTTATTGAGACATTGCCTTTGCAGCCTGTTGTATAGATTTTTTTTTTAAATCAAAATGCCATGGATAACATGAAATATTTCTTCATTTCAGCCTTTTGCTTACAGGTCGTTTTTTACACTTTGTATTGGCCCCTGCTCTGCACAAAACTAAGTCCAGTTCCATCTCTCTCTTTACTCCACTGCTACTCTTGCTTCCAGCTGGAATGCTGCTTCTTACCAAGAAACCATTTTCTAACTTGTTGCTGTCCCAGATAGGCTCTTCCAGGCTTGAATATCATTCTAGGGCGCAAGTTCAAAAACAGTCTGAAACAGATCAACCTGTACCGTTTAAAGTGAGAATAATTCTACTTGCCCTACAGAGCTTAGACAGATAGCTCATTGGGTATTATAAGGAAATGTCAAAATCTACACAATATTTCTATTTTCTTAAAAGCCTCAGTCACTGCATTTCAAAACTCAAAAAGCATTCAGAATACCAGCTTTCAAAGTCACATCAGCTAGAGCTGCCAGTGCTTTAAATTACATGGAATAGAGCCATGCAGATAAAACAGTGCAACAAAAGTTCAATTAAAATTCAAGGAAAAAAATAACTCCAGAGAGAAGAAAGGTTGGCTTTGGATGGCCTAAGCCAGGGTGGAAACTGCACAGTAAACACCTTGCCTCCTCCACCTCCGAATTACATCTACAGCTTTTAGCTCACATTTCCGTGTTAAGCATAGCTTCTCCGAGGCAGCCAGAATATTCCAGGTCCAAAGCAACACCTTCCAGTAAAACCAAACCTGAATGGGCAGCCAGCACAGACCAATAAAGTACAAGTGACATCTGCTTCCTGTGAGAAATGCCATTCCAGAGCTAGGCAAATAAATCCTTAAGCGATAGTTACGTGAAGCCTTAATCAGGGGATGCTCCTGCAGTCCACAGTCCTCTGGAGGTAATCGATTTTGTAAGAAATCTACAGTCTACAATGAAAAGATTCATTTTCTACCTCAGAGACAAAAAAAACCACTGTAACTCCTGCTGCCACCTCATGCCTGCAAAACAAAGCAAGAGGCTCCCTGGCATCGGCTCAGAGGGCAGTATGGATTGAGGTATCATCTCATCTCAGTAGCTTCCTCAAGAGACATAAGAGCGGGGAAGATGAAACAGCACTTCCTAACTCTCCCACGAGAGGTCTATCTTTGAGAAAGACAGACAACGAGACTTTCCTAAAACAAAAGCATGGAGCTAGTCTACCTACCCATCCATCCGCTTCTGCTAAGCTCCTGCCTCAATTATGATACTTCACTGTTCCATAAGGACACAAGAGACTTGGCAGAGTTGAGACACATACCCATCCAGGCTGCGGCTGACTTTGCTGGAGACACCGGATGAAGTATAGAGCGCAGTTTCAGTGCAGGCTACCCACATGCGCGGTGCTCAGCATGTATGCAGCCTGTGTGATAGGACAGAGCGGGAGAAAAATGTCCGCAGAAAAAGAAGGCTATCCAAAAACTCTCTAAAGGTTGGGAGCCTGCTGCAATTAATCTCCAAGAGCCTTGGGCTTCATCTACCACGAGGGTGAGAATAGTGACCATCAACAGCAGAGCTGCCCTTGTCATAACCAGATTTTGAAAGCACTCATGAAATCTCAGGAGAACATACGTTTCCATACTCCCAGCTTGTTTGCTACTGGTAATGAGCATTTCTAAATAATATTTTATACACCTGTTCTTTAATGTTAAAGGTTAACTTCAGTATTATCAAGAACTGTGTTTCTTGTAGGCATCTCATTTTCCATTTCACTTTCAGGCTTTGTCTCTGTGCTTTAGTGAAGCTATAAATCATCTAAAAATGATTCCTCCCTAGTTTTGCCCTGTGTTCACCTTGCGCTTGAAAGGCTCTGCTAAGCCTCCAACGGAAGTAAAAATTCCATTGATTTTGTAGAATATTTTGTCTAAGTGCTGGCATTAGGCTTCAGCCCACAGTGGTTTACATTTATTTTTAACTTCAATTCTAGAAGAAGAGGGAAAGGTTTAATTTTCTACCAGCGAGGCTATCCTTACAGGGAAAAAAACCTATAAAGAAATACCAAAATTACATTTCTCTCAACTCCAGGATAGATACTCGAGACATTTAGTTAGAGCAAGGTCAGACACACACTGTAGCCTCGGCAGGGGTTGCTGTAAGAACTAAGACAGATGTTCAAGGTTGTCTTCAGCTATGAACAAAGATTTAACGCCACCAGGATGAAAAACACCTTTGAAAGTTCAACAGGGTCACTACTGAGCAAGATTGCCCCATGCCAGTGGCAAGAGATGCCAAACAAACACACAACTGTACGAATGTTTGTCTTCAACCGCTCTAGCACAGTGCAGGAGACTACAGCCACTGTGAACATGTTAAGAGATGTTATCATTTTGGTGTCAGCAATGGCATAAAGGCAATGAATAGAAATCTGCTGATAAAGAGACAGACGTATCATTCGAGATTCAGATAATGATGAGTATTACCATTCTGGAAAAAAAAGATTAAGGCATACCAGGACTCCTATTTACTAGAGCACATTTGCTGATGTGTATAAGGCTTCCTACATGAATAGGACAGTGTATTGGTTTGCATACACTGTTGGTCACCAGGAGCTCTGACTGACATGTTAACTACTGTGTGTCACTAAAGACTTCCACTACCTCCCAAATGTGTACTAAATATATAAAACAGGTCAGCAACATGTACTATGCAAACAGCTTCAAAACACCCCTGGAATCACATGCTTGTAAACCCGTACCTTGAGTTTACACTCAGATGTACAGTCCCTGATGTGTCGTGTAAGTAGACTTCAGGCACAAAAATGAGAGGATACCATATTTAGAGTGTGGTTTTAATCTTGAAAATAAAATAGGTGTTCTCTCCCAAATCAGATGAAAGATACTTCGGTTCTTCTAAGAATGCTGGTACGGTATGAGGCAGACAGCCTCTGTGAGTAACTTCTCCCTTACACAGTATTTCTGGGTCCCTGAAACAGCCAGGTCATGCACAGTGAGAGCTCTCTGGAAGGGTCACGGGAGGGACAAGGTTTTTAGGAAATGCACAAAGTAGCAAACAGTTCTCAGCATAAAAGCAAACAGCACATCAATCAGTTCAGCAATCAGACAGACAGACAAGCCAGAGCTTCCCACATCCCTACAGCCTGATCTATTGTCTAGACTAGGATTTTTTAAATACCTTTTTAGAAAGTATTGGATAAAATTCAGAATAGAGAGCCTGAG